CCGGTACTACGTTCACCGTTTCCTCATACCGCAGTCTGCCTCTCGAACCAATTGGGCAGCGAAGTCTGTTGCAGAGGAGGTATGGGGTCTTCTCGCCATTGTTTGTTAGAAGGGATAGGTCTGTGAGTCGAACAAAATTAATCGTCATCCCTTGTTTGACTTTGAATCTCCGTTTTCATATCTGTCTTTGCCAGTGAATTTTGTACACCAGTTGAAGAAAATGGAAAACATGATTTATATCAATGGTCTGATTTCTGATAAAAAAAGTAGTATACCCCGAAAGAACAAGAACCTTTGTCTTTGAAGGCGTGCTCCCTCGCCGTCGTAGGCGCCTCAATCTAGTAAACCCCGGAAGACCAAGCAATATGCCGGAGATTCCACGTCTTCCCAAACACATGGTCTCCAACAGTTTTCTCATCAGTTTCTAATGTTTTTAGCTTTAAATGAGAGGTGACCATGTGCCTGGGCAGACGTGGATCTCCAGGGTGAGTGCTTGGACTTCCGAGGTATACTAGATTGAGGAGGCTACGACGGTGAAAGAGAGCACGCCCTCAAAGACAACAGGAGGATCAGGACCCATCTCTCAATTCTTCAACCTTCGATTTTCCTCAATATGCCGTTAATGAAGACTACATCGACCGGCATGTTGAGGAAAATCGAGAGTTATAGACTTGGGAGATGGGTCCTGATCCTAATTCAATTGTCTCATCTCAGCTGCCTTTTAAAGAGGACTGAAGAAGATATCTATCCTCATTGATACACGCGCCGTTATTAATTTTCCGAAGACTGAGGGGACGTTTCGGAGAAGAGGCGACTCTTCAAATTCGCAGAACTGCGAAGAAAATGCGATGAATCGCAATTCATTCGCATAACTATATGAATAAATGATTTCGCATATATTTGGTTAAAGAAGATAACTATCCTCCTTGATAAGCGCGCCGTTATTAGTTTGCCAAAGATTTGAGGGGACGTTTCGGAGCGACTCTTCAAATACGCAGCACTGCGAACAAAATGCGATGAATCGCACTTCATTCGCATAACTTTATGGCAATAAATGATTTTGCATATATCTGGTTAATCAAGAAGATATCTATCCTCCTTGATACGCGCGCCGTTATTAATTTGCCAAAGACTGAGGGGACGTTTCGGAGCGACTCTTCAAAATCGCATTTCAGTCGCATAATGTTTTGACAGTAAATTTCATTCTGTTTCGCATATCTATTTAAAAACATATACTGCGTAAAATAAAAAAATTGTTTTTAATGCGCCGAAGACTG